AGCCGCGGGGACCCCACTCGCCCGCACCCCCGCGTGCGCCCCGTACACCCACCCCCCAACACCCCGGGTTCAGCCCCGCGTACGCCCCGTACACCCAGCCCCCCCCGTACCCCGTGGGTACCCAGCAGTCCCACTCAGGCCCCTGCCGCAGCACCCGCGGGGGGGGCTGCCCCGGCCTGGGAGACCTTGCACCCTGGGACTCAGAGCAGGGCCTTCCCTCCCCCGCCATGTCTCGATGCAGACCCCAGAGGGGGCCTGAGCCCCCCACGGGGGCCACTGACACCAGTGGGTGTGATGTGGACAAAGGGCCGGTGCCCACACCTCTGCGGCGCGAGCCCCGCTCAGCACCAACTCGCTTTCAGCAGAGTGCCCGGCTCTCACCTCCCTGTTCGTTCTAGGTCTCCCTTAGTCCTGAGCTTTACCGAAGCCATGCTTAGGCTCCGCTTACTAACGTGGGACGTGAAGGATACACTGCTGCGGCTGCGGCAGCCAGTGGGGGAGAGTTACGCGGCCGAGGCCCAGGCTCACGGGGTCCAGGCGCAGCCGGAGGCTCTCAGTCGGTCTTTCCAGGAGGCATACGGAGCCCAGAGCCGGCGCTTCCCCAACTACGGCCGAGGCCAGGGCCTCAGCTCCCAGCAGTGGTGGGTCGATGTTGTGAAGCAGACCTTCAGGCTCTCGGGCGTGCATGAAGATGGAGTCCTGACGCTGATAGCGGAAAAACTCTACCGTGACTTCTGCAGCGCCCATAACTGGGAGGTGCTGCCGGGAGCCGGCGAGACCCTGAGCCTCTGCTGCCAGCGCGGCTTCCGCATGGGGGTCGTCTCCAACTTCGATAACCGGCTGGAAAACATCCTCTCCCAGTGCAACCTGCGGCACCACTTTGAATTTGTCCTCACCTCCGAGGATGTGGGCTTCGCCAAGCCGGACAGGAGGATCTTTGAGAAAGCGCTGCGCCTCAGCGGGGTCCTGCCGGAGCAGGCGGCTCATGTGGGGGACAGCTACACCCGGGATTACAGGGCAGCCCAAGCCGTGGGCATGCACAGCTTTCTGCTCCGGGCTGCCAGACAGGGTGAGGAGCCAGAGGTGCCCCCTGAGCATGTCCTGCCCACACTCTCCCACCTCCTGGCTCTTATTGAGAAGGGGTAGCTGCTTTTTGGAGGAGGACCAGCGCTGCTGCTGAGCAGCGAACTGGTCCTGGCATGGGATTTCTTGCTGCTGGTTAGGCAGGGAAACAAGCGAGCGCTTCTGAGCGGAGGGAGCAGTGCTGCCTGCAGAGCAGGAGGGGTGTTAATGCAATAAAATGTATCTGACACTCAGCATTGCTGCTGATGTCTTTCATAGCTCTAAAAACACTATGGAAGAGGGTCAGCGGTGGTGTCTTCCCCTAACAGAGCTGGGGACTGGGTCAGGCTGTACTCCAGAAGGCTCACTCTGGCAGGAGCGATGGAGGCACACATTGAGGTTTATCCATTCTCAGTGTCCCCCCCGTGCAAGTGCATCGGCAGAGCTGGGGTTGGTCCTGTCCCAGGGAAGGTCTGCCCATGCACGGCACCCAGGAAACCCACACACGGGCCCTGCACACCTCGGTGTACCCCAGGTTTGCCCCCTCACCAGCATTCCCCCTTCCTGACAGCGGTGGCCAGGAGGCAGTTGCAGGCCTCCTGCTGTGGGCAAAACAGGCTGGAGTTGGGCAATTTCACTTAATTTCATATACTGCCAATTAACAAACTTTACTGATTTGGGTATTGAGAAATAAAGATGACAAATTTCAAACGGGCAGGAAAGGCGTTTACCTTTCTTCCTGGCTCTACTTCAGTCCAACACCTCTCCTTCCTCCCTGCCTAAGGTCAGCTCCCCATGTTTTCGCCACATTACGTTCAACCCCCCCAGTCCATTTGGCGAGGTGAGGAGCAGCTCAGGTTAGGTTTCTTTCTGCTGCTCCTCGCTTCTTACTCCTCTGCTCTGACATGGGCTCCGACACCTCAGGGGTGCCCCTGCCCTGGCGTGGGTCCACCACGGGTGATGGCCCCCCACACTGTCCCTGTTCTAGCATAGGGTGGCTCGTCCCAAACAGTGTCTCCAGCTGTATCCCAATGATGGCCCTTTCCATGTGCCTCCTCCCTGCCATTTCTCCAAACATCCTAAATACCTCTCCTGTTTTCTAAAGCCCACCGTCAGGCTGGAAGGCTGCCCTTGGTCAGAGAGGAATTAAATGATTCACCTAAAAGTAGCTGGCAAAGCCAGACATTACCCTGACACCTCACCCTGGCACAGCAGACGCAGGGTGGGTGTAGCCTCTAGGAGGAGAGGAAAGCTGCCATAAAACACGTGAAGAACAGATGTAGTCTGAAGGCAGGTCTTGTCTGAACACCACTGTACAAAAGCCAGTAGCCCTGTCTGGGCTCCTTTCCCCCATAAAGGTACTGTATAGCGTATATACAGTCACTGTATATACAGCTGTATATTCACCTACCCCAGTAAGCACAATGCTTCGCTCACTGGACAAGCGAGATGCTCTGGTGTGCCACAGCAAAGACAGGATAGAGGGGCTCTGTGAAGGTCTCCCTGTGGGAGAAGAGGATGGTGCAGGAATCGGGGTCGTAAAAGAGCACCTCCCCTCCTGCAAAGTCAACCAGCACCCCGATCTCAGCCGGAGACTTGATCAGCTCCACCGCCTGCGGGTGCCCAGCGTGCAGGAACCTGAACTCCTTGTCGTAGCGCGAGAAGACCCAGGAGACGGTGTTGAAGCCCAGGCGGGCTTCATTGCCAGACCCCTTCCGTGGCAGGGAGCTGTAGCAAACCCCCAGCTTGTAGGCACAGCTCTTCTCCACGCTGATCTTCCACGCGCAGACTCCCGAGTGGAAAGCCGCAGTAGCCAAAGCATTGGGCCAGTGGTCAAACCGCTCAGGGCAGTCCAAGTCCACCTTTGCTTTCTTGGGGCTGAAGGTCAGGGTTTTCTTGTCTTCCAACAGGCTGAGGTGGGGGCTGACAGTTTTCTCATCGATGTGAATCTCCTGTGAGCCTGCAAGAGAAGCCATGCGGTGAGCATTGACTCAGTGGCCCTCACCTGAACCACCCGAAGAAGTCATGGCCATCAGAAACACAATCGCAACAGCCCTGTCCTCGCACATCACTCCTGCAGACCCATCTGCTCCTCCAGGATGACACAGTGTTAGGGGCTCAGGCTCGGGCTGGGTGCCAGCACAGCAGTTCCCTGCAGCTTCCCCTCTCAAGCGAGGGCCAGAACAACGCAGGGACTCATCAAAGCTCAGACTTCACCAGACACCTCTCCACCCTCGCACTAGAAGTCCTGCAGAGTCAGAGAAGATGCTGCTTATCTTACTCCAACCCTGGCCTGAATCCCCACAAAATAGAACTCAGCAGGTTTGGTTCATCCCGCTTTTGGGAGAGACCCCAACCGCAGCCCCCATTCCTTCCCACCCCCACTGTGGGTGAGTAGGACCTGACTACTCCTCCCACAGCCAGGGTGAGTCAAGAGCCTGCGCAAGGATGGCACGGCTGTTTGCAGAAAACCTGCAAAGCTGGTAATACAGGAACGAGGAGAAACAGAGAGGGCTGGGCAGGGGAAATCCCTTTCCTCTTATAAAGCCCAAGTCATTAATCAACCCACCGTGAGCTGTTCAGAGCAGCGGAGGGAGATGGCACCAGGCGTTAGAGATGAACATGGCCATGACTTGATTTGGTTTTGCCACAGCACAAACCCAGCGAGCTGCAGCCTGGGGCGAGAGCCAGGCTGGCCCGGAGGATGCCTGCCCCCGTGGGCTGACAGCACCCAGCACCGCTCGCCCTGCCCTGGCCACATGCTCCCCCCATGAGACCCCTCAGCAGGTCTGCAGACTGCCTGCGAGGGCTGAATAACTGCGCAGGTGTTTCCCTCACTCGGTAAATTCACTAAGCAAAGAGATAAGGCTGATGCCCAGCTGACTCACCTGCTCCTGGGGAGAGCGAGTTTCTACCTGCAGGTGCCCCTCCTTGCCCTGCCTTCCCCCACCCTCACTTCATTCATTCTGGGTCTTAAACCACCACAGAAACAAGGCTGGAGCAGGTGAGTCATTTGCTCTCCCAGCCCTACCACCAGCAAGAGCTCTACCATATCGTGCCTGCTCCAGCCATTTCCCAACCACCCTCTGCTCAGCATCCAGCACGTGGCAGGATGAGGCCCTTAAAGAATCAAACCATTACGCTGCAGCCTCAGTGGGGTGGTCCCAAAGCCCGACCTGCTCCAGCACCTATGCAGACCCAGGTCAGCATCCCTCCTACCAGCGAGTGGCACTGAAAAGCAGCAGCACTGGTCGAGGGGTTTCCTAGAAGAGCAACTGCCCTGGTGCTCCCTGGCAGGAGACAAACCGAGGCTGATTTATCAGTTTAGACAATGTGGAAGTGTCACGCACGCTTGCACATTAGGTGGAAGCTATTGCAGGCAACAGCGAGCAGAAAGAGGAGCTGAAGACAGCATCCCCTTGCAGCTGAAGCAGACAACCTCATTCATTTGATGATTTATTTCACTGAGCAGCAGCCAAATGCTTTGCAGCGTGCCTGCCTGCCACACTGTGCCCTCCACAGGTCTCCACAGCTGTATTTGCCCACACTGCCTATTTGTAGGTTGACTTTCCAGGAAGCCAAACACTGCTAAGAATTCACAGAAAATGGAGCAGTATGAGACTTTATCTTCCTCTGACAGAAGAAGGGCACTAAACCTCATATTGTGCAACACACATCTAACCTAGGTACAGGGTTGCATTCTGGTGTTCATGTACGGGAATCATGTGCATGAGGAAATATCACCCCAATGACACCCACGTAGCTTCGTTGTGGAATTATGATTACAGGAGAGTATCTGAGGGAGGGGAAGCGCTGGCAGAGTAACAGCAGAGTAATTCAGATAACAAATTTTCCCACACAGACAAGTGTTTTGTCATGATTAAATCTGCCCTCCAGATATTCCCATATACTCTGATGAACAATTCCACTGGGAATTCATCTCACCCCAAAATCTATTTTCTCTGTGTACAGTGGCCTTGCCACTTTAGAGAGACAAGGGATGCCAAGTAGGTAAATTAACATGGTTAACATCTCTGTCAAGTACGTATGTGTTAGCTGCAGCACGTTTTACTACTTTTAAAAATCCAAGTTCCCGTTTCCAAACCCACACATCTGAAATTAAAATCCTCGTAGCTAGATTTCTACCAAAGTTTCTAGATTTTCTACCAAAGTAAGAAACCAGACCCAGCCTGGTCCCTGGTGCAGAAGGTCTCCACGGAGCAGCCCAACGTCTCAGCCAGCTGGGACAGCTTCAGTCTGTGTCACCCCCGCAGCCTCCATCAGCCAGCATTACCACTCTCCTGCCCCCCAGCAGGACTAGCACGGGTGGCCATGAACTGAGATCCCTCCCAGAGTGGTGCCAGGAGATTTACATCATCTCTCGGTTTAAGGAAGAAGCTGCCAACCTCAAACGTAAGTGATACAGAAGCCTGGATGCCAAGTAAAGACATCAAAGGAATCGTGTTTATTTTTGAGGGTGAAATGGAGGTTCTTTTGCCTGCTGGTTTCCAAGTTTTTGAGAGGCTACAGAGCAAACCATCAAGGTTAGGAATTTACTCTTTACAAGCAAATAAATAAGACTGCCATCTATTCAACTGCCTTTGGGAGGAGGGACCACCAAGTGAAACATAACATTACTGCATCTTAACAAAAGCTAGGACCGCTGCAGTTAATATTAAAGCTCTAAGGCTAGGTCCTGGATGGACTATGGACTAGTGAGGTAAGCAAGGAGATGGCAGGCATCCTCAGCATGCAATAATGGCACGTTAAATGTAACAACAAAAAAAAAACTCAAACCAGACCAGAGGGTAATAATAGCACCAACAGACCCACTGCTAGGATCGAATGCCTTAGAGTCATTACATTTGACAAGGGTGCTATTGGGAAAGAAATCCAGAAAAAAACTTTGTCACAACAAAGAGAATTAGGGAAAGGTTTCTTTGACAGCTCTGAACATCTGCTGAGAACCTGCGCAACTTTGCCAGTGTACAACTGCAGGAGTCTGCATCACTGTCACCACTCGAAGGCTCAAAACAGAAGGAAATTAATCACAAAGGGAAAGCAACACCAGAGTTTGCAGCAGAAGAAACAAATGACGGTGTTGTCCGGTACGCGCAGATTCTCAAGCTAATACTGGAAAACACATGAGCAATAAAAGCCAGAAGCGCATACCTCGGAGAGGGACTTGGAAACAGGGAAAAACTGAACCGCTCATCAGCATCAAGTGCGAGATGAGCAAAAATCAAAGGTTAATCCAAAAGCTTTGGGAAGATGACCCCAGGGATTGTTTACAAGGTGGCACACGGGACAAATGTTTTCAAATTGTGAAGGATATTGCCACCTTTGAGGAACAAAAAATATGTTTGAAATGCTCTCATGACGGCCTGGAAGCAAGAGTAAAAGCAAACATTTCACAATCAGCAATTTGAGCAGATCACAGCCGGAAGAAGAACGCCTTTGCCTGCTCAACAGAGCCAACACCAAGCTGGTAAAACCGAACCCAGACCACATCACTGGCCTCACGAATGCCTCCGATGCAACCTCAGCTGTACAGCAAGAGCTGAACCAGATCACAAATGTCTCTAACAAACCACCAGCTCGTGCACAGCCACAATCTCAGCTCATGATCAGAAAGCTACTGCATTTACTCACTTCTCTTTCCAGCACATCAGAGCGTCTCACAGACGCCACGTGGGTGAGTTTACCCTCTTTTAGAATCACCAGCAGGCCAATGCGGTAAAGAGGAATTTCTGTGAGAGATTCCTACGGCAGCATCAGCTTCACGGCTGTCACCAAGTGACCCAGGAAACAGCAAAAGAAACCAAGTGAGGTTAATCAACAGAGCCAATAAATGGCACAGTCTTTTCAAACCCCTGGTCTCCTCTTAGCCACAACCAGCTGCTTCGAGCCCCTGTCCCCTCTCTCAAACAGCTGGGTGGGGGGCTCCAAGCAACTAGCAGGGGCTGGGACAGCAGAGGAGGGCAGGATGACCCATGTCCCGGGCAGGACACAGCATCAGGATGTTTGGACACAGCATCAGGGTGTTTCTTTGGGCACAACGTGAATGAGCATGCAGGAATCCCCAAAGAGCGTGAAACCTGAGCAAGGCACTGACCTGCGATGCAGCAGAGAACAGCAGAGGCCCATAGTCGATGCAGCAGTGGACTCTGAACACAGGTCTGATTAAAGTTTAACTTCGGGGACTCCTGTGGCTCCAAGATTCCTTCAGCCACCTCTGTCCTAGCAAAGGAACACAAGAGTTATTTTGAAATACAACGATTTATTGACCAATGCTGGGAGGTGTTTAAGATCACTAGGAAGTATGACAGAAATATGAGCTGGAGCAGTTGCAAGAGGGACAATTGCTACAGAGAAACTGCACCACGGGTTTCTGGACAAACTCTCCTCCCAAGTGGTACTTTCGGTTTGTTTTGATTACAGTCCCTTCTGAAAGGACCTGTGTTTCAAAATACAATCTCAGCAGCCTGAGTCAATGGCCTCCTCACTCAGCAGACACAGATTAAATGCGTCTGAGAACAGCTGTCAAGGTACAAGAGGAGCACAATGAACAGGCTGCAGTGAGAGACTCTTATTGACAAAGGCTCGCTGTCAGGGGGATACAACAGGAGAGCAAGCCGGGACTCTGGGTTTCATACAGCATAGGAAAGAGATTGAGGATTTTCTGGGTTCCTGTGGCCAGCAGTACACACATGAACTCATGGTTGTAATTAAAGGCTCTGGCACTGGCTGCTGGTGATGTGCTGCAGCCGATTTCTTACTCTACGGGCAGGCTCTGGGCAAAAATACCCCTGAAAGTCCTCTGGATAGCAGAGTCCAACCAGTGCTAGCTAGCACCCTTGCAGCAGCCACGGAAACAAATGCCTGTAAAAATGCAAGGGCGCTTTTTTTTTTTGCCCATTTTTTGGGGCAACCTTCTCAAGGAAGGGGCAGCCCAAAGTTAGTGATGATGACTGTCAGAAATGCTGACACCTGCACTTGGTTCTCCGCTCCATGCAATCTCTCTGTCTGGGAAGGAGGCAGTGTGTGTGTGGAGCTTGGGTGTGCTGCCCCTCTGGGCGATGCTGTGCCAGCAGCCCCCCCAAGCATGGAGCACGCCAGCTTTCCAGGCAGACAATCCTACCTCCTGCCAACAGGACAGGGACAGGCTTGCTCCATCTCCCAGGGAGCCCTGCAGAGTTTACTAAAGAGCTGGAGAAGGTCTCCCATAAGCAAGGGGTAGCGCATCTGGCCATGCCTCCAGGGAGATATTGCACATGGAGCATTTCTAGGTGCCAAGACTCCTCCATCTTGAGCTGCAGCACAGTGGGTGAAGCAGAGACAAGAGGCCACGCTGGCATCTCTGTGCTCTGTCCTTGTCCTCAACAAAAGCAGCACGAGGGAGGAAAGAGGGGGTGTCACCTGCTGCCTGAGCAATGGCACTCTGCTCACAGTGGGAGCCACGGAGGGTGCAGGCAAGCTTGGAGCAGGGGTCAGGGAAAGGACCAGGAGCAGCCAGGTACTAACCTCTCAAAGATGTCTTGTTCTGCATGCTGGGGACAAGGAGAGAAAGAGTCATCACAGCTGAAATCCCCACAGATAAAATCCCAAACACAGGCTGGGGCACAACAAACCTGGGACCCAGGGAACACTGTTCTCTTTCCTGACCCAGAGAAACCGCTCCTCTCCCCAGCGCTGGCCCTGGGGAGCAGGGGGAGTGTCCAACATCCATTTCCTTCAGCTGCAGCACTTTCCACTCCCTGACTCTGAGAACAAGTGGAAATGGCTGAGGGCGATACATCTTCTACATCTAGCTAGGGGTATTGTCTGCTGCGCCAGTGGGACTGGGTGGCTGGGTGACAAATAGTTCGAGAAGGGCATGGGAGCATCCAGACAGAGCCTGCCACCACTCTGCTGTGCGTGCAAGCGGTGTGACAGCAGGAGACTGCAAGTACAGCTGGATCGTCTGGCACAAGGGAAACATGGGAGAGCTGAGGCAGGTGGAAAGTCTCGGACCCACAAAAAAACACCTCTGACTCCATATCCTCTGGTAGAGACCAGCCTGTCTGCATCTGGGAGCTCTTACCACTGTACCCTGCCTTACCCAGAGTGTGAAAACCCCACCCCTGAGGTCCCCCCTCCTCCCCCACCCCGTTAGGGCACGCTGCAAGAACATCCTGTGCGTGCAGCAAACAAACCCCAAAGCTTTCAATGAAGGGTGAAGCTGCCGAGGACCTAAGCCAAGAGTCAGAAAACCTCGTCATCAGTCCCACTTGTTTCTATACCCACTGGCAATGGTGCATTCTCAAGGTACAGCCCAGTTCGCAAAGTGGTAGGAAAATATTTGATCTCTGCTCAAACATGAGCTGCTCTCAAAAGGGTGCTCTACATGCCTTTCACTTTCCTGTGACACGACACGTATCGATTCCCAACAGACAGAAATACCAATACCAATGATCCAAGGTGGAGAACGTATGATCCCTATATCCCCTCCACTATGGGATAAAAGGACAAATTGAGGGTCTCACAGTTTTCTGCCACGGGCATCTGATGGCTTTTGCCCTCCAACCTCTACTCTCTACAGTGAGGCCACAGCCCAGCCAGGTAAGATGCTGGGGCAGGACAGAAGCTGTGTTTCCCACAAAGGAACAGCCATCTACCTTCTGTCCGTAGGATCAGTTCTGTTTTCCAAGCAGAGCTGCTGCCCCGCTCTTCGCAAAGTTACACGTGGCAAGCAGAGGCTAAAAGCAAGGAAGAGGAGGTGCAATGCCTACCCGCTCGCATCTACAATGAGAGGAATTGCTTGGGTAAACTGAGACAATTTAATAGCCAGAAAAGGAACTGAGCAAAAGGAAGCATGGCCTGCTTTGCATGGTAAATATCCCAAACAAAAGTATGCCAGACAACAGGGCAGACTTTCAAGAAGAGCTGCAGGTGCTCCCAAGGGTCATGTTTTGATTAAAACTAGACAGAACACTAGAAAACTGGTGGCCCAATTAACTGCTGTAGAGCAGCTCTCAACCCATAGCCATCCTGAGCTGGCAGCTTCCAGCCAAGAGCTTGGAGACCTGAGCCTGCGTGGTTCTGAACCTCACTGCAAGCAAAAGCAGCATTGGGCTGAGCAGAACCACCAAGAAACCAGGGGGGCTTGTCAGGACCAAGTAAAGGAGGTTCCTTGAACTAGACCTGCAAACGTAGGTCCTGTCCAACTCTGCCTCCTTGCTGTCAGTGCAGCAAGCTGCTGAACACTGTATTTAAGCCCCATAATATCCATGATAAAAAGTCTAGGGCACTTCTGGGCTGACTGACCTGTCCCTTGGTACAAGGAGCAATACTCACCACCAAGCCCTGGTCATCCAGGTTGGTGATCATGTCCACCAGGTAGGTTCTGAGGGCAGCCAGCTTCTGCAAAGCCTCAGTCCAATGCACCTGCTGGGTCAGGATGCTCTGGTGCGCCCGCTCCTCCTCCGCGTGCACCTTCTCCAGCAACCGCTGTTCTTCATTTTCACACGCATTCCCCACGAAGATCAGCCTCTGGATTACCAGCTCCCGCGCCGCGTTGGCTGCGTTCTGCCAGAGCAAGGAGAGAGGGCAAATAGCAGCCTTGCTTCAGCCCCAACAAGAGCACCAACCACTTCTGCTGGCTTTCTGTGGGCTCAGCTGTTAAGATTACTCTGTTAATTGAGCCCAAGCCACAGTAATCATCACGAGGCAAGCAGAGGTAAATGGGACAATCAGTCCCAAACCTGCCTACTGCCTCCTGGCCTAACCCTGGTACCTAAGTGACAACCTGCGAAGGACCAGAGTCCCATCCCCCTGCGGATCTTCCTGGATTTGCTATTAGCAAGAAACAGAGCCACCACCAGAACTGTCTTTTGTCCTTGGTGACAGCAATGCACAATTAAAATCAGGAATCATTAAGACTGGTCCTAGCAGGATGTTCAATGGCTGTACAGTAACACCAAGAAATGTACTGTTTGTGTACATTTTTTAGGCAGGTGAAGCAGGAATTGCAGGTGCATCCTGGCACTCCACTCGCACAAGCAGCTGGCTAGGAGGGGGACAACCCCCACACACCAATGAACCCCCTGCGAGCTCAGAATCTCTGATGGGAACGGTGAGCATGTGGGGCCAGCTCTGCTCCATGCTCTGCTGGGAGAAGGGGCAGGGACTTACCAGGACACCCTGGTCCTTGGCAGGCAACACCTCGTCCACATGCTGGGCAATGGCAGCGCTCTGCAGCTGGAGCTGCTCGCACCGGTCCACGATCTTGTTCTGGAACACAGAGTGGCGGGCAGCGAGCAGGCCTCAACAGGGCGATGGCGGCCCCAAGCCCCCCACTCAGCCTGCCCAGCCAGCCCCCACCCAGCCCCACACCTCCCAGGGTCCTTGTGCACCACCCCACAGAGAATCCCCTTCCCCACGGGGGACCCCTCACACGGCCCCACACCCCACCAGGACCCCCACAGAGCCCCACAGCCTGCCAGGAATCCCACAGACAGCCCCCATCCCCACGGGGGACCCCTTGCATGGCTCCACACCCCATCAGGGGCCCCACAGAGAACCCACCTCCCCCCGGCGACCACTCACACAGCCCCACACCCCGCCAGGGACCCCCACGGCCCACCGGAACTCCCCAGGCGATCCCAGAGCCTCGCACGGTCCCT